AATTAGATATCGACGCTACTGTTCAGTAGAATATCATAATGGTCACCCTAACACTTTTGCCAATTTGCTAGTATCTTACTTGCTCTTGTTCCCGTAAAATTTCCAACGAAATTACGTGCCTACTATACTAATCGTATAAAACAACTTATTATTGAACCAAATTAAAACGGAACATACAATTTAATACATGTCTGTTTGAACTGCATTTGAAATGGTGGACCAATATAAAACTTGGACAAAAATAAATCCATACCTGGGTATAGACATTGTATAAAATATCGTTCAACTATCTGTCTCGCAACAAAGTTGTTTGCGTAAGACGGGTTTGTCTAAGGAAGCGATAATAGTTCAGGAAATGAAGCTCGAAAAAAGTTAAAACCTCGCAATTTTTTCGTCCTGCATGTATCCAGTTGAAATTTTAAAAGAAGGTAGGTGATAGCCCAAGGATCAAAATCTATATCGAACCGAAGTGCGCTGAAGGTTTTAGGGTGAAAACTACCCCTAATTGTCAAAAATTATAAAATAACATATTAAACCTGAACATGGTAAGATTTGGTTTGAATTAGTAAAATAATGATTATTTTATACTTTTGAATAGAGTTCCATCATATTTCAACCCTTGAAAAGCAATCCTTGTTAGAGATTAATGTAAAAAAATTACTAATTCTAAAAAAATGATTTCGCCTTTGATCGATTTGGATAAAAATTTGGATTTAAGCTCAATTCACCCGCTGCTTTATAGTTTCTGTCATGTCGACAAACCCTGATTGTTCTAAGGGTGAAAACTACCCCTAATTGTCAAAAATTATAAAATAACATATTAAACCTGAATATGGGTAAAATTTGGTTTGAATTAATTAAATAATGATAGTTTCGTGCTTTTGAATAAAGTTCCATCATATTTCAACCCTTAAAAAGCGACCCTTATTAGAGATTAATATAAAAAAAATAATAATGCGAAGAAAATGATTTCACCTTGGAACGATTTGCATAAAAAATTGGAATTAAGCTCAACTCACCCTCTGCTTTATAGTTTATGTCATGCCGATGAACCCTGATTGTTCTTAGCGGTGAAAACTACCCCTAATTTTCAAAAATTGTAAAATAATATGACAAATCTTAAGATGAGTGAAATTTGGTTTGGATTGGTTAAATAGTGATTTTTTTATACTTTAAAACACAAATTCATACATTTTCAACCCTTAAAAATCAATTGTTATGAGTGCTATAGGTGAAAACAATTTTTTGCCAAAATTTTGCAACTTTTCAACTTTTGAAAATCGCCCTTTACAACATTGCAGTTTTTATAAACTAATTTATAAGATATAAATTGAAAAAAGTAGAATTAAATAAAAAAAAATTATCAACATAAAAAGGCACCATATATTCTTACACATTTACATAAATAGTTGAAAATATTTACATTTATAGGTAAAACAATTATAATATTAATTTTATTCGTCATCAATTACATCTTCATCGTGATCTATGTCATCCTCATCTTCTTCAATTATTGGTGGACTGATATTGCACCCTTCATCTGAGCACCCAGAACAAGTAGAGTTACAGTATAAACCAACTTTTCTGCACTCACATGAAACGCCGCATCCTTTTTTGCATTGCCAAAAAATAATTTTCAAAATTCATCGGGTGCAGGTTGTTTGTTCATACGTACGGGTAATAACAAACCATCTTTGGAATACCATCCCCAATCTGTTGCTCTGATATTTTCATTGTCAAGCCATAGACATATGAGCAGATGTTTTATTCTGTTATATGGGATTTCAAAATAAGAACGCTTAAAATTTCGAATGTATAAAGCCCCACTAGCTAATATACCGGTTTTGTAGATTATTATGCTCCGAAATATACTGTACTATACTAATGGAATTTTTCGGAAAAAAATTAACTTTTTTTTAACGTATTTCCTTTAATTTTTAACGATAGAGTGTTTCTTCAAAAACGATTTGTAGAGGTTTTTAAGAGCTACAAGGATCTGTGAATTAAATCTTTTTGGAACCCTTGGTTTTTAAATGGGGTGAGTTTAAAGGGCTCGAAAAAGATGGTGCTTGATCGTAAATCGATGCTTTAAACGGCTATATCTCGCCAAATATTCCTTGTACAACAAATCTAAATAAAGGATAATTTTGGTCATTAAAAAAGCTACAATTTGGTATTTTTTTTTTCATATATTCAGTATTTTCGGGCATATTTAAAAAAAGAAGGGTAAAAAATATGAAATTGTAAATCGTTTCTCGCTTCAAGCTGTACTTTTTCTAAAACTAAGCATTTTAAATGGGTCAAACTTCGTGGACGTATTAACGATACATGTACAAAGGGATTTGCAGAAGGGTGAAGATCGATTTTAATTATGGGGCTGATTAGGGGGTTGTTTTCATCGATTTTTTCGTATAAAATGAGGTATTGACCTTATTTTCATCATAACTCCTCAATTTGTGAGCTAGAGTCTTTTTTATGATAGGTCTATTTATGCTCTTTAAAAAAGGTTTTGTGAGTTGTCTTCCAAAAATGCATCATTTTCCCGATATTTGACTTTGAATCTTTCAAATTTGGCATTTGAAGAAAACCGCTGAACATTGATAGGCCTTATTTCGGTTCCTATTATATCGCAAAAACATTTTAAAAAATGAATTGTATTATTATTTTATAAAAATATCATTTTATAAAAAAAATGTATAGCACATTTTTTGTTTAGAATCACTTTTTTAATCGAAACCTGTAGTTAAAACGTAAAAAAAAATTTTCACCCTGGAGATGGGGTGGCAACCACCCCCTAGGCTTTGGCGCACTTTGGTTCGATATAGATTTTGATCCTTAAGCTATTACCTACCTTCTGTTAAATTTCAAGTCAATCCACGCAGCACGAAAAAATTGCGAGGTGAAATACTTCATTTCCTGGACTATAACTGGTTTGACAGCATAATAAAATCGTAGATTTATGTGTAGCCTTTAATTTTTATGAGTTCAGAATCCAGCAGCCCGCTGAAGTATGGGATTTTTATAATATAATTATTTGACAATCTTTTGTTGGCCAACCACCTACAGCAGAATTGAGCCGAAATACATTATATTCCTATGTTCCGAATTTATTTCGTTCAATCTGTATAATATATTTATTTATTCTAAAATTGCCCTTTCGGGTTACATCACAGAACGTTTTCAGAAACCACTAAATATGTTTGTAAAAACCATTTAAATGATGTTAATTTTGTTAATTAATGGATATTTGTTGTTAAATTTAAATGATTTTGTAGTTTTAAACATATTTACATCATGGCACGCAAGACTCCCAGGAGTTGCCAACCCAATAGAAGGTATCTCTATGGGTACTCGATAACAACTCTATCGAGGACCATCCATAGAGAATACCTTCTCTTGGTTTGGCAACCCCTGGAGATTTTTATTTCCCCTGATTCATGGTATACAACCAACTACAGGAATTTCATTTTCCTTGTGAATCATATTGAAGTCTTGTTAAAAAACGTTTTAAAATAAGACATCACTCTCCCCTGAAATGACACTTTTCGACCATTTATTAATTTAAATTGTCATTGAAATACCAAAAAACTTACCCAAGTCCACCTCTGTTTTTACTTTGTTTAGGCTTTGTGCCTCTTCAAGGGTGGTATTTTTGTGTGACAAGACATTAAAAGGATCATGTAAGTGGAATGAATTAAGGATTTCATACCAGAGGAAAGGTCGTATGAAGGGATTTGTTTGGGTAAGTATACGGGTTGGGTTTGTTTGAAGTTTTTGGGTTGTGTATTGCGGAGTGGGGATCTTGGTCAGAATGCGGGATTGTGTACATTACAGTTCGGGCATTTTGGATCAGATATCGTGGGGCATGCAGTGGACCTGTGTTGTTGTCCACAGAATAGACAGATATATGACTTTTTTGGGCATTCGTTGCTGAGATGTCCGCTTTTGCAGCATTTCGAACAGTATTTCAGTCGAAGCGGAACGGAATTGCTAGATTTTGGAATCTCACAATTTAGCCGTTCTCCCTCGACATTGATGCCATTCGAAAGTGTATCGGCGAATTTAGATTCAGAGTTAGTGAAAACTTTGATAAATGAGGTGGGATGGTATGTTGAGCGGGCAATTATGCGAACTATTTTGGTGAAAGGAAATCTGTTATCGGATAGGTTATCCTCGATGATTTTCTGGGAAAGGTTTTTTTCGATTTAGGTGAAAGATTTGTGGATCGTTTGGAGCGGGATGCGGCTTTCTGGATTTGACTGAGTTTAGTAAGATGATGTCATCTCGAGTTTTGCTGCCTTTGATGGGATAGGATGGAAAAGGAAGACTTTAATTGAGTCTAAATGGGGGATAAGGTTGTGGTCTTTGTTAAGTCGGTAGAAAGGTCTCTGCTGACAGATATCTGAGGCGATGTCCTCGATTCTGTAATTTAGGATAGGGTGTGGTTGCTGTGTGTTGGCTGATTGAGGTTGGGAGAGTGTTATTTGCTGAGGTGTGGTGCGTATATAAGTGGGTGTGTGTACGGGTTATGGTGTTGGTTGACTGTGTCTTGTGTTTGTTAGGGGGGTGTGGTTGCAGGGGTTAGGGGATTGGGGATCGTAGTATGGTGAATCTGCTTTGGATGTGAAAGGGGTAGGGTTGTGTTGCTGTGTTTGTGTATTATTTACTTCTTCTTCTTCATGTGCCTTGTCCGTTCCGAACGTTGGCAATCAACATGGCTATTCTGACTTTGTTTACGGCAGATCTGAATAGTTCAGCAGATGACAATCCGAACCATTGCCGCAAGTTTTGGAGCCACGAGTGTCTTCTCGTCCCTGGACCCCTTCTGCTGTCTATTTTCCCTTGAACGATCAGCTGTAGTACTCGTACTCCAGCTGATTGGGTATTATTTACCCAAACATTAATTCTCTTTTATATAAAAGTTGGACAGTTTGGAAAATATTGATTGGGAGAAGATTTCAGATGTATCTGGATATTTAAGAGGTAATAAAAGATTACATAGTAAAAATTCATTATTATAAAAATAATGTAATACAAAAATATATTTAATGACAATTATTTTAATTCATGTATACTTTTAACTCTAATCATGGGTGTGTTCAAGGTATTCTGTTGAAGATTATTGTATTGAGTTGTAAAACAATTTGCGACTAGAGGGTTAAGTAAGACACACTGATTATTTGACAAAGGAGCAGTCAACTGTTGATTACTACGTTTAGAATATGTAAATTGCGCATATTTTTGCTTAGGTGTAGAACTTGAACGATTGCAGTTGGTAAAGTTACGATCAGTTACTACAGGATTTGAAACAGGTCTTGAAATTGATGGATTATTACTATCTGTCATAATGGCACTGCCAGGCGATATAAAATTTTGAGAAATACTGTTTGGTGAATTGATTGATAGGTTTATAAACTCTTGTCGAGAATTATTAGTAGTGTTATTAACTATTGCATTGTTTAGAGTATGGGGAACAATTTGTGGAAAACTGGCATTTCTATTCAGTTGTGACGTATTATGTGGTCTTACAATTGATGTATGATTACTATTTGTCATAACGCCAGGTGATCTAAAAACTTGAGAAATATCATTTGTTAAATTAATTGAAGTGCTTGATAGGGGTATAAATTCTTGTCGATAATTATGTGTAGCGTTATTAACTATTGCGTTGTTTGGAGTATTAAGAACTCGTTGTGGAGAACTGGCATTACTATTTAATGGTGAAGTATTATTTGTAGAATTAAATAACTGTGCGCTTGGAGTATTAAGAAAATTGGGGGTAAAATGTTGGGAAGAAATGGTTCGAGCAACATTAGGAGAAGTTACCGGCGCAGAAAAGTGTGAAAGTATATTAGAACTAGACACTATTGTTTGATCTTGGGATGAACAATGTGTTTTGAAATATTGGGTATTATTCGTTAATATTCCTAGGGTTTGACGAATTTTTAATAGTGCACTGTTCACTATGCTCGAAACCGAATCCCTAGGTTGCACCGTCGCTGGATTATTTGTCTTTACAGTATTTATTAGGTTAGTTTCACTTGGTTTCAATGTTATGTTGTTACTATCCACATTTGCCTTTTTATTAAATAAAGGTAATGGTTTTACGTCATTCCACATTGTTACCTCTTTGTTTGTTGTAGATTCTTGATCAGATATAGTTACAGAATTTGGACCATGTCGAATATTTACTGGAACTTTATACAAGCCCAATTGTAAAAACATATTTTTCATTATCCCATTTCTAGTTATATCCTCAGTACTTGGTAGTTTTAACGACTTGAATCGTTTTGCGTGTCGTAATAAGTCTTTTAGCAGAATAATATCGGAACCATTTAAATTATTGGTATTTAGTACTGCGTCGTTTTGTATTTTAATATCAGGCCTTACTATTGCTGTGCTTGAATATTTTACTGGTAATATTTCTGTATTAGGAGTGTTTGAGACCTTAGCTTGAGGTAAAATTTCGTTGTTGCCGACTGTAGAAGGGGACTGTAGAAGCGTGTTCGATTTAGATGAGAAATATGTTGTAACTTTGTTCAATTCCGTTTCACATTCATTAATCACTTTTTCAATACTACTGGATTCAGTTGCAACAACCGCATTGACTGTTTGAATTTGTTTTTCTGGCATATTTACTTTCCCTAGAATATTTTGGGCTTCAGGTATACCCACTGATAAACCAGAATTAGGTTTCGATATGAAAGAATTAGATAAGTTAGTAGACTTAACTGGTTCGTCATCGTCGGATAATACTATAACTTCGTTACAATGTAAACTATTTTTGTTGATGACTGGATTACAATTAAGATATTTGTTTCTAATAATTGAATCCAAATCAACTCTTTTTAATTTGACGTATAATTTACTATTTAAAGCGTGACCTACGGTACATTTCTTTTCATGGCTTATTCTACGTTCGATTAGTCTAAATCTTGCTCTACAAAAGCTGCAACAAAAATGTTCTTGATAATGAAACTTAAGAGCCTTTGGGCTTTTGTGTAATGATAAGCAAATATTGCACTTATGCGTCTCTATTTGTTTAGATGAAGGGTGACTGGGTTTTAATTCTAAAGTTTTAAATAATGTTGAATTAGCTGTGTCTGTATCGGACATACAGTCACTCGAAGATATTCTTCTTCTTTTAATTTTGCTTTGTTTTGTTTCTGTAATTGTCTCTTTACTTTCACTACTTTCCCTTTTACGCTTAGATGAGTGATTAGAAATAATTTTAAACTTTGCGTGATCATCAACAAGTTTGATACTTATAGGAGTTACTTTGAAATTAGTCCGGTCATCTACGAGCTTAATACTAATGGGACCAACTTTCAACGGAGCGTGATCGTTTTCCAGATTATTCTTACTAAAACTTTTGTTTTCTGAAATATTTGTTTCTAAAGAACTATCTGAATTCAAGATATTTTTATTATGAAACGGTGTAGTCTTTTTACGAGCTGTATTTACTTCCATTGCTCTTTTAGTAGCTAATTTTAAATCTATATTATTATCACTACAGTATTTTTCGACTGCATCTAATTCTAAGCTAATAAAGGGATTTACATCGAAAATGAGAACATCAGTCCGCAATTTAAGGTTCGGATAACGCGTAAAAAGTTGTGAGACTGATTCGTGAACTTTTACTTTTTTAGGTATATCTGCATTAAAAGAATAACTGTCCAAAATAATAAAATTTTCATCTTTTTTCGATCCATTAACCTCAGTCAATTCATTTTGATATATATTATGATTGAAATCGTCTAGTTGTTCTTTTTGGAGTTTTGTCGTTGAAATCGTTACATTGGTGTTGGGAATTTTCATTTTCGTCGCTCTTAAATGCTCGATAATTTTTTCCTGAAAACAAAAATAATTAAATGATTATTTTATATACGCTTACGATGATTAATCATTAAAACATTTCAAATAAACACATTTAAAAAATAAATCAGATTTATTCTTAGTTACAGACGCACTAGATTATTATAAGCATCTTAACAAAAATTCTGAGTGAGCCTTTATATAGTAGAACAATTTTCAATTAACGGTGACTCAGCTACAAATTGAACTAAGCTACAAATCAGCTATAACAACTCAGCTACAAATTGAAGGTTTACTTGTTTGGAGGAATTTATAATAATCCACTACAAGCATTATTCTCAATTCAAAATAATTTAAAAAAAGTAAATTGTATTCAACCCATTATTAATATAGTATATTAACATGTTTTAGTCACCTGTATACACAAGAAAGAATCTACTTCCAATTTAATATAGTAATGCTATTCTACAATGTTTAGCTGCAATAATATTTTATGATTTCTGTAACTCTGCAGGTACTTATCTTCCACATTTTTTAAAGATTGAATGAAATAAATAGTTATTAAAAGTTCAAACGTATTTTTTTCAATATACATAGATTAATATATTTAGAATAATTGCTGCTTTCCGAGTTCATTTCAAGGAGTAAAGTGAATGAATTTGAATGTAGCATTCTCAGTGACGTCATTCCCGCCATTAGATTCTCAACGATGATTGGTGTAAAGTTAACAGACAACCTGTCTATTTTTAATAACCTTGATCTAAGTCACCTTTTTTGCCACAATTTTGACAGTGAATCATTTTGACATGTTATCATTTTCGAAAATATGAATTTTATGTAGAACATGAATGTTATGTAAAATTACTTCTGTTTGTGAATAGTGCAATATGCCGAAAAACTCTGGCCTGGTTTATTGCTGGATCAGAACCTATCCTGAGCTTCTTACATCAATGGAAAATTATTCCGCAAAGTATGTAGTAAAATGGCGAGTTTTAAGATTGCTTTGTTCGTCTTTTTTCTTTAATAAATAATATTTGACTGGTTCCTCAACATTTAAAGTTTAAACAGTTTGAAAAAGTACGTATTCTTGTCGTAGATCGTAGAATACGTCGGGACAGAACTACATAAGTCAAAATTCAAGAAGATGAGCGAATTGAAAGTTCTTCAGTTACCCATTGACAGTAGGCAATCGTTGATGACTTCATCCAATGAATAATATAAATTTAATTCTGATTTATGCGAAGCGATGATTTGCGCAAACATACCTTTGAAAAAAAAACTGGAAAATCCAATTTAGGACAAAAGTACATTGAGAAAAAATTACGTAGAAATGTTTCAAAACCTCTTGAACCTTGTAAATATGCATGTCCAAAAAATAAATGGAACCTAGAAACATGCACCATTTTAATATCACAGGAAATTAGGAGGCAGGGTAGGATTTGCACGTGCTAATGACATCGAGTATTTCCAATAAACATGACATATTATGTTTCTCTAATCTTAAACATTCCAGTTAGACATCACATTTTTATTTTATCTCACATTGAAAGATGTAATAAAAATTTATGACTTCCCGTCTTCACTGCCGATAAGAATTGGCTTATAAAGAACTGAAAAAAATCTAGAGGACAAGTAAATAAATAACAAATCAATGTATGATAAAAAAATTATAAGATTTTGGTTTTAAATTCAGAAAAATATGTATATACGAGACGAAAACCTCGAATTACTTGGGTCGCCTATACAAAAAGTGGTCGTAATTTATTTCAGTTTTGTATAAATCCATTTTTAGGTTGTGATAAGAGCCTCAAACAACTAAAAGCAATGCTGTAAAATCGAATAAGCGGAAACTAAAGTGAACTCTTTTAGAAGTGAATGTTTTCTAATTCATTAATTTGTCATAAGTGTACAAAACATTTATTTGCAAAAAATATGAAAACAAACATACCTAATATAACTTATATTTTTAGGATCTCACTGCAAAATTAAAAAAGAAAAACGTCTTGAAACGCACTGAACATAAATAGTACCTCACTATAAAATATTAAAAACGATTGATCTCAAAAAAAAAAAAAATAATAAAAATAATAAAGCTATTTTACTAACGCAAAAACTAGTTCGTCCCTGTCTCGCTACGATAACGCACTGAAGAGAACTGCATGTTTTTAGCAATGCCTGATATCATTGTTTCGTTCGTAGATCGAAGTAACAAATGATTACGTCAGGTCCACGACATTATGAATATTATCTTTACCTCAAATATACAACGATACCATAAAAAAATCAAGAAGTAAGTGAAAAATCGATACATTTATTTTATTGTAGATGAAACTACAGATTCTTATGGTCGTTACATTGAAAATTTATTAGTAGGATCTATGCACGAAGATAAACCTAGTGAATCTTATTTAATTGCATGTCGACAGTTAGACAAATCTAACCATTTAAGTATTTTATGATTTATTAATGAATATTTTATGACTTTTTTTGCTCCTAATGTTATTTCCACTAAAAAGTTTTACTTATGTTATCAGACATTACCCCCCCCCTAATAAGGTTAAAGCTGGTCAACAAATTAAATTAATTTATGCAAATTTAGTTCACGTAACTTGTTTAGCGCATGGATGTAAAAGCGTAGCTGAACATATTAGATGTGAATTTCCTGATGTCAATGTACTAATAATTAACGTAAAACAGTATTTGTTAAAAGTCCTTTGATTAGATGTTTGACCAGCAAGCGGGAAAGACGTATTTTAAGACTCATTTATCGTGCTAGTTAAATAGTAATTATTGAAGTAAATTTAAAAGTAATAAGTATAAAATTAAGTGAGAGTGATTTGTATACTGAATATTGGAATCGTGGGTAGATAAAATATACTTTTTTCATCTATTTGGATTTAGATATTTAAGTAAATCACTGCAATTAGTTATAAGTATTATCCAATTTCCACGAACTGGTAACACAGCGAAAACTGTAAAAGAGCACCGGTTTTAGTCGGATTTTAAATCCATTTAAAATATGTCATCTTCCAGTCATCTACCACAAAATGCATCAAACTTAAAAGCAGTTAGTCAACCACGTAGTATATTAATCCCAAACAGAGATGAAGCTATTCTATTTAAAACTTCAGAGGATTGTACGATTAATGACTATCTTGAAGGATTGAGTCAGCATATAGAACCAAAAAATATTTCGCATCCCGTATATCAAACGGTAGAATATGCATATATCTATCATCTAAAAACCTAGTGGATAAATTCATAGCAGAAACAAGAAGTGAAGTAAATGAAATAAATTTTGTTAAATCCTTTAAAAGGTATATAAAATGGAAATATACTAGAAGCGCGAAGATTAATAACTCCATCAGGCCGCTTAATTCTGTCCAATGCATGTCCAAGCATACTTCCTAACTTAATAATGGACGAGTTAATAAAACTAGGTTTGAATCCTCTCTCAGTCATATCATACCTTCGGATAGGAGCAACCAATCCTGCATTCAGTCATATTCTAAGCTTCCGAAGACAAAATTTGGTTTCACCTTTTCCAGACAACTTTGTAATACCTGAATATTTTATCATCGAGTTGGAACAAACATCATACCATATATTTATAGCCCAAAATGAAACATATTTCAAATTCAAATTAACTGGACATCAGGCAGCTAATTGTCCAAATATTGCACCTTCTAACTATCCTCACAATAATAGTGCAATGCAGACAGAAATGAGACAAAATTCATCAATAATTCATACCCAACAAGATAATGTACAAAATACTCCCACAATCTCAAATACCACACCCACCACACTTACTACGTCTTCTCAAACCACATTACAAACAGTAGCAATCGCAAATTTATCAATAAACCAAACCCAACAATGCTCACTATAAAATACATCTATATATTTGACCACTTTTTCAGTTATCACTACAATCGCAACACCTACATCGTCTGAGTCATCCGCTAATACCCTTATTCTTCTTCTTCTTTTTATACAGACATAACTCTGTCTGTTTTTCAATGCGCCTCCAGTAAGTTGTCATTCCATCGTTTTCGTGGTCTTACTACTGATCGTCTTCCTATTGGGGAACCGTCTTTTGCCGTCTTTACTACTCTAATTGTTGTCATTCGGCTTATATGATCGTTCCATTCTACTCTTCTATTTCTTACCCAGTTTTTGATGTTCTCCACCTTGCATCTATGTCGTATGTCTGTACTTCTAGCTCTGCCCATAGTGTCTTACCATCAATTTTTCTATGTGTTTTCATCTCTGCTATTTCTAACATCCTTTTTGTCCTCTCTGTGTCAGGTCTTGTTTCTGCCGTGTATGTCATTATTGATCTGATGACTGTTTTGTAAATTCTGCCTTTCGTTTCTTTCTCGATATTTTGATTTCTCCATATTGTTTCATTTAGGCAGCATGCAGCTCTGTTTGATCTATTTACTTGATCTTTTGCTTCGGTTTCGAGCTTTCCGTAGCTAGATACTGTGGTGCCTAGAGATTTAAACTCCATCATCCACAAGGAAACTAAGTTCCTGTAGTTGGTTGTAAATCATGTATCACAAAAAATTTATTAAAATCCTTTATAAAAGGTATATAATTTAAAAACCCAATCGGACTATATCACAACAACAAAACGGAATCCATATTCCATCATCTGTGTCTAGGTGTACATGTTTTGAGCCACTAAATATCTGGGTAAAAAAAACCCATTAGAAGTTATATGTATAAATTATCTGATTTAATATATTAAGATGTTAAAGTTACCAGTGGATTTGGTAACATGGTAACGTACGACTCCCTATGAGTGGATTATCAAACGACAAGTTTGTACATTGTACACAAAGTAAATTTCTTCAGACCATCACAGCAGCCGCAGACATATGTAGGAAAAACAAAAATTTTAAAGAAACATAAACCTCTTTCGTGGTGGACACCTGAATGAAGCCTAGCTACAAGAGTGTATAAGAAAGCTTTCAAAAGACTAAAGCATCATAAAACAGACGAAACATAACGGACTACAAAAAACGAAG